AAAAAAAAAAAAATTCAAGAGAAAGATTTTGAATAACTTTTATTCAAAAGCAAAACAAGTGAGAATATGCATGAAACTAAGGCATGGTAGATTGGTCTGATCCATTGGAACCACTGGCAGGAAATAAATAAGTGTCCTTCGTGATGCTGCATCTTCTACATCACAATAGTTTATGTACTTTGAGGGACTCACAAATCCCTCTTGGATTAGCTTTACAAACCTTATATAATGAATAGTGATTACATAAGTTTCAAAGTGGTATTAACTTCAGTCAAGAATTTAAATAAACACAGAAATTAGACCAAAGTTATTTGCCTTTCAACATGAGTATGTGTGAATCTATGTACATATATATAATGCACATCTATACACATATGTGCACATGAATATCCACATATATATACACACACACACATACATTAATGAGATTTACCTAAAAGAAATACATTTCCATAAATAGGAAAGCTTTTTCTTAAGTGAGGGAAATACACCTCTGCAATTCTTATAAGCACCGATAAGTAAGTCATAAGCCTATAGATGCTTCTTTTAAAAGCTACAGGAGCAGACAAACATTAGTGGCTAAAAATGTCTTTTAAACCACATTATTTTCATTAATTGAGCAGGTTGTATGTTACACACAGCCAAATGATAAAGCTTACCTAATAAGCACTGTATACAAATCAGAGATGGAGTAAAAATAAATTTGAATCCAATTTGTTTAAATATTTTCATAAGAAATTAAAGATGTGTTTCATTTGAGACATCTTAAAGCTTGATTTGCCACAGAATATAGATAACTTGTGTTTCAGTCATAAATGAACCCAGAAAATATTAGAGTAAAATATTATGCAGTTCATAAAAGTGCCTCTGTTTCAATGCCTTAAAACAAACCACGATACTTGGCAAAAGATAATATTTAGTCAATTCCCAAAGTCCACCGAGCAAAAACATTTAGTTTTGGTTCTCACTTTAGTTCTATGTCTCCCAGAATCTATCATGGTCATTAACAGCAGTATAGAGAAATGACCCACAACTGATCAATCTTAGTGTCTCTGAGTTCTCATACAAAGTCAACTATTAATCTCATCTGTAAGTACAAAATCTTAAGCAGTGATTAAACAAAGTACAGTAGGGAGTAGAGCTGAGGAAGAACTAAAAGTCTAGACACAAACCTAAGAAGAGAAAAGCTAGAAAAATTTTCCAAGCTGTATGTTCCACAAGGGATTATCACCCTCACGTGTGTGCCAAAGAATGCTAGTCCTAAGTGTTGATCCTTGAAATGTCTGGAAAATGTTATTCATAATACATAGAATAATCTTTTTTTTTTAAAGACCAGATCTTACCGTGTTGCCCAATACAAACTTGAACTCCTGGGCTCTCAAACAATCCTCCCACTTAGCCTTTCAAGTGGCTGGAACCACAGTGGACACCACCACAACAGGCTATAGAATCATTTTTCTTAAAAAAATGTTATGAGGCATTCTGCAATGGCCCCTCTCACGACCAAATACACTGGTAACTTTTTCAAAAATTGTTTTTTACCCAATATTTTCAAGAAACTTGACTTCATAATCCATCTTGCCCCATTAATGTCTGCAAAGTTAGTGTTCCTCATAGCAAACTTTGAGAAACTATGTAAAATCCAGGTAATGTGCCACTGATTTAGGATCTATTAGGAAATTACAGGCCAAATGCAATGGCTCATCCCTATAATCCTAGCACTTTGGTAGGCCAAGGCCGGAGGATCACTTGAGGCCAGTTCAAGACTAGCCTAGACAACTAATGAAGACCCCATCTCTACAAAAAATAAGACAAATCAGCCAGGTGTGGTGGCACCTTTAATCCCAGTGACTTGGGAGGCTGACACAGGAGCTTGACCTTGAGCCCAGGTGTTCAAGGGTGCAGTGAGCCATGATTGTGCCACTATACTCCAGCTTGGGTGACAGAGTAAGACCCTGCCTCTAAAAACACCTTAAAAAAGAAATTATTTAAGTAGGAGAAATCCAGCAAGGCAACAGACAGAAAACTGCTTAGGAAGATAATATGCAATATAGATGGGGGTCCACAATGCAAACAGTGTAACATGAATAAAACACACTGGTTGTCAACACTGGCATGACAAAAGCATCATCACATAGGTACATAGTTAAGTCCACTGAACTGTTTCAGACTATTTCTTCATCCCTATTGCCATCACTATACCTAGGCCCTCTTCACCATAATAAATTTAAATATCTTATGAAGTAATTTTCCTCGGGATAGGCTATTTTTTCCAATGTTGTGCTTCCTAAACTTGATGCACATGAATCACCCAAGGATCTTGTTTAAAACTGCAGGTTCTGGGGGTGGGGTCCAAACTTTTTCCATTTCTTTTTTCTTTGAGACAGAGTCTCACTTTGTTGCCCTTAGTAGAGTACCATGGTGTCATAGCTCACAGCAACCTCACACTCTTGGGCTTAAGCAATCCTCTTGCCTCAGCCTCCCCAGTAGCTGGGGCTATAGACACCTACCACAACACCTGGCTATTTTTAGAAGCAGGGTCTCGCTCTTGCTCAGGCTGGTCTCGATCCTGTGAGCTCAAGCAATCCACCTATCTCAGCCTCCCAGAGTGCTAGGATTATAAGTATGAGCCACCACACCTGGCCACTTTTTCTGTTTCTAATAAACTCCCAGGTAATACTATTGACACTAGACTTTGAATAACAAATATTCATTCCGCAAGTCACTGCCTATTATTCTTTGTAAAAAAACACTTCTCCCAAGTTATTGCCTCATAAGTCTACATTAATTCAGCGAATCATGTATAAACATCTATACTCATTTATCACTCCAGAACTTCATTCTCAACCAATCTGGCCTTTATACTACTTACTATATATATTTATTTAAACCCAGCCCTGGATTTGTTTTAAGAAACGTGTATCTACAGTATAGATTTTAACTATACAATTCAATGGGTTTTGATAAATATATACAACCAAGTAATCACTACGCTCCCAAAAGATATAGAACACTGCCATCACATCAACCATGTTTTGACCTAACTCTATACATGCCCTTCCACCTTTCCACGCCTTTTTATCTATCCTTTAAGATTTGACTAAAACCCTTCCTTCTTCAAAGCATCACTAAAATTCATTCATGTATCTCCATCTAAATTACTACCACTTAGCTATCACCATCTCTCACTGAACTACCATAGGGCACTCCTCACAAGTTTCCCTGCCTCTATTCTCGTTCCCCACTTTAATATATTATCCACAGAGTCTTCAGAGTGATCCTTTAAAGTTACAAATCAAATCAGGTCTCTGTCCTGCTTAAAACTTTCTAGTGGCTTACCAGCACACTTGCAATGAATCTAAGTGCCTGTTCCTGCACCACTAACACCCTCCTTCTCTGGTCGTGTCTCTTACTACTCTCCCCATTATTTTCTACACACTGGTCACAGGAACCTTCTTCCTGGGCCTGCAACACAGTGAGATGTTCCTGCCTTAGGGACTCTACATGACATATTTTCTCTGCTCTTTCCCACCTTTTATAACTAGCTACTTTCTGCCACTCAGATCTCAACTTCAAAGTGGCCACCTCACAGAAGCCTTCCTTGACAACAAAATCTCAGTCACTCCCTAACAGACACCTTACCTTAATCTCTACACAGCATCACATCTGTCATTCATATGTATCTTCGTTATTTACTTCTCACAAGAACACAAGTTCTATTGCTGACGAATTTATCAACAGCGTTCAGTGCTTTAACTCCTGAACTCAGAACTGTGTCCAGCTCATATTTCTAAATAAATATGTTAACTTATCTATTTAGTCTATGCAGATAGAAACTGTTCCTGATGTCCCAAAATAAGATTTCCCTTAAACTCAAAAGAGTAAGAAAGCTATTGCTAGTTATCAAACAAGATAAATCTTTCCCAAGAGAGGGAAGGAAAGAACTGAAGCTTTACTCAGGTCATAAGTAATACAAAACACGAGTTAAGTCCAAGTTGAATTCACATAAAGTTTAATCACTCAAGTTAACGAAAATATCAAAATTTTTGAGTTAGTGTATGGCAGCGGAAATTTAAATTCTGTTGCAAAGAATACAGTATTTGGTGTTTCCATTATTGACAAGCTATGCTGCAGAAAGAGCAATCGCGTTAAATCTTAATTCATCAGGGTCGCGTTCCATAAACTTCTTACAGACTTCTATGGCATCCTATGGAGAAAAAAAAAAGGATCATTTTTCTGTTTATAAACATGTGTTTTACTTACAGATGACAAACATTTAATATTTTTTCTAATTGATACTAATTTTATATAGCAAACTTCTTTCTCCAAATGAAAAATAAAGAACACTAGAATACTGAACAGTCAGTGCTATTTGAAGCTACATAACTTGCTCTTATTTTACAGTCTCTGAGATCAGTTTCAATCAAGTAACTTGGATTAAATGAAATATGGGATAAAATGACCAAGTCTTTCAATATCATTCTTATCTTTTCTGAATTTGACACTTGTTCACAGAAAGAGTTCCGGAAAGCTCTTGTTGTTGTTGCAATTTTTAATGCTAATTCAAATTTTTCAACACTCTAAAGAAAACAAGGATAAAGAAGCACCCAAATACAGAGAAAATGGTATGAAAGTGACCTTTAAAGGTATTTTAGAGATGACAAGAACATTAGTAACACTGAAGGTGGCCAACAAGTTTTACTGTTACCTCTAATAAAGTTTCATCACTAGTTTCACCATGGTTAATAGGAAATGGTTTCCGCCCATCTGTAGAAAATAGACAAACAGTTGAACATTTAGCTGATTTTATAGGATAATGTACTTTCTTTTTTTTTTTTTTGTTTGAGACAGAGCCTCAAGCTGTCCCCCTGGTAGAGTGCCGTGGCATCACAACTCATAGCAACCTCCAACTCCTGGGCTCAAGCGAGTCTCTTGCGTCAGCCTCCCAAGTAGCTGGGACCACAGGTGCCCACCACAACGCCCAGCTATTTTTTGGTTGCAGCTGTGATTGTTATTTGGCAGCCCGGGCTGAATTTGAACCTGCCACCTTAGGTGTATGTGGCTGGCGCCTTAGCCACTTGAGCCACAGGCGCCGAGCCAGGATAATGTACTTTCAACTTCTATTTTCATCCTCCCATGGTGGGCAAGAAAAGTTATAAGGTATTTTAAATATTATATTCTAAAACAAATATCTTAAATGTCCTACCTATGAATATTTTTTAATATTAAAGGCTATCAGAACTTGGCTTTCATATTTGAAAACCTAAATTATTTTCATGAACAGAATTTATTACAAATAAATATTGGCTTTAATTTCCTGAAAGGAATATACCAAAGAGTTATATAAAATCAACAAGAGTTTTTATCCTTAGAAATGTAAAACACTTCCTTTTTCACTTTAAATAGGACAATCTTAAGACTACTGACATGTTTACGCTAATGAAAGGAGCCAGACTGCCATGGGCCATACAATGCTACCACTAACTGTATACCACTAATGCAGTGATATTGAGCAGTACTACAAATAGCCTAGGATTATTTTACTGACCACCAGAACAATTAACCAATTGACAATCACCTTAAATAAACTAGTACTTTAAAAAAAAAATAAAAAAAATAAACTAGTACTTTTTTAATATTATAAAATGATGAAAAAGTCCAGAATTATATAAACTCATGACAGTCCAAAGTTAACTGATACCTAGTATCCCATTCTGTAGTCTCAGATGTCTTATAAATGGCACTAAGTCAAGTTCAATGCATAGGACACAGCCCTGCCAATAATTCCATGGTTTCTAAACCATGCATAACAGTAATAGACTTGGATTAGTCTATTACATGGTATTATCTTTAAAGTAATCATGGAAAACTCACACATAAAAATGTCTCCACATAAAGTGGTATTAACTTCTATAGATTATAGCATTAGAATTTATGATCCTTGTTTTTAGACTAACACTAAAATAAACATTCAGAATGCTAAGGAAACATATCTCTAAATTATAGTGCCTGGGACTTAATTTCTAAAATTTATTTAAAAATCTTAAAAGAAATCTTTCTTATACCTAAATATTACACAGGAATACTTCATCATATTTCTATAAACTTATATTATCTTTCTAAATTATAATTATATAATTATAATTATATTTTGCAATGATATAATTATATTTTACAATGATATAATCATAAAAATCTCTTCAAAATATGCTTTTGTGGCAAATACTTAGCCCTCAATAACATATTTATTCCTCACTTGGAAGACTCTTATGTGCTGCCCCATTTTGTACTTTTTTATTTTTTAATTTTTACATAAAAGCAGTAGTGTGAACAAACAATGTAGGTTTTCCTTCCTTAGCCAAATTATAAATTTATATATTTTTTTCTTGATTTCTATCATTTGTTTCTTGGTATTGTTCTATAGACTAGTGAGCTAATAAACTTAAGTGAGTGACTTTCCTTCATATGCAGCTTCTGTTTAATTTCAAACGTTATTATAGACTAAGATTATTAACATAGATCTTGATATGTAAAAAAATGAACAAAATGAATTGTATAGTATCTTGTTATGATAGCAGTTTAAAGTAAAGATTTTTTTTGACGTTGGCTAATCACAGTCTACATACCATGGGCCAGACCTAGCCCTCAGTCTATTTTTATACCTCCTTTAAACTAAGAATATTTTTATGTTTCTAAAAAGTTATTTTTTAAAAAAAGAAGAAGATATGATAGAGACAATGTATAGCCCACACAACCGAAAATACTTCCTATCCGGTCCTTTACAAAAAAATTTTAACTAAAACAGTAAAATTGAAAAGTTGCTGTTGTTCCAACCACCACTACCACAAAACTGCCAATTCCCACAACTTTGGGTTGAATTTAAGTAAATGAACATCTTGGAGAAAAATCTGTGAGGCTCAGAGACTGTCACACATGCCCCTTCTAAAAGGGGCAGGCAAAACTACACCTTGGACATAGGTGACCTGGCCCAGCAATCTTCATCCAAATGGGCTATACTATTTACAGACTGGACAGGAAGAAAGACAGTGCCCCAGCAATTTGGTAGTGACTAGTCAATTCATTCAGATCTTGCCTTTTGGATAGTCTGATCACAAGACCTCAGAGAAAGCTGTAGGCAAGAGAGCTGAACAAGAGACAAGAGACATGGCAAACAACCATCACAAGAAGATATTGATACTTTTTGGTATAGATAGCCAAGCATCAAGTATCATCAAATATCCAAGGATACACAATGAAATGAATGATGGAGCTTAAAAACAGATGATACCAAAAATGAAAATTTCTTAAAAAATAAATATACCTCATGGATAATGTAGGTTTTTTTCCAGACCACAACAATCAGGCAAATATCACACTAAAGCGATGCATAATTTTTTTGGTTTCTCAATGTATATAAAAGTTATATTTATACTATACTGTAGCCTACTAGGTGTGCAACAGCATTATGTCTAAAAACTATGTAGATACCTTAACTTTAAAATACTTTATTGCTAAAAAATGCTAACAATCGTCTGAGTCTTCAGCAAGTTGTGATCTTTCTGCTGGTGGAGAGTGTTGCCTAGACATAATGGCTACTGACTGATCAGGATGGTGGTTGTAGAAGGTTGGGGTTAAAGTAAGTCAACTAAGAATTCGGTCCCTCAGTCAACTCCTCCTTTCACAGAAGATTTCTCTATAGCATGTGATGTTAGATAGCATATAATGAGCAGCAGACTTCTTCCAATATTGCAGTCAATCCTCTCAGACTCTACCACTGCTTTATCAACTAAGTTTTTGGAATATTCTAAATCTTTTGTTGTCCTTTCAACAATATTCTCAGCATCTTCACCAAAAGCAGATTCCATCTCAACAAACCACTTTTTTTCCTCATCCATAAAAAGCAGCTCCTCATCCATTAATGTTTGATCATGAGATTACAGCAATTCAGTCACATCTTCAGGCTCCACTTCTAATTCTAGTTCTCTTGCTATTTCCACTACAATCTGAAGTTACTTCCTTTACCGAAGTCTTCAACCCCTTAGAGTCTTCCATGAATGTTGGAATTAACGTCTTCCAAACTCCTGTTAATGCTGATATTTTGACATCCTCCCATGAATCACAACTGTTCTCAATGGTGAACCAGAAGGTTTTCAATTTACTGTGCCTAGATGCATCAGCCTTACAAAACGTATTTCTAAATAATAAGACTTGAGAGTTGAAATTGCTCCTTGATTCATGGGCTACAGAATGGATGCTGTGTTAGCAGGCATGAAAACATTAACCTCCATATTCTGTACACCTCTACCAAAGCCCTTGAGTGACTAGACTAGATACATTGCCAATGATCAGTAGTATTTTCAAAGGGATCTTTTTTCCTGAACAGTAGGTCTCAGCAGTGAGCTTAAATTATTCAGTAAATGATATGCTATTATCCAGGTTTTCTTATACCGTTTATAGACCACAGGTCCTTGGATTTTCAGAATGGTAATTGAGCACTGCCTTAAACTGAAAGTCACCACTACGTTGATCCCTAACAAGAGAATAATCACCATCCTTTGAAGCTCTGAAGCTGGGCATTGAGTTTTCTCCTCTCTCTAACTGTGAAAGTCCTAGACGGCATCTCCTTCCAATAGAAGGCTATTTTCTCTACATTGAAAATCTCTTAATTAATGTAACCACCTTCACCAGCTACCTTCTGGATAACTTGGGGCAGCTTCTCCATCAGCACTTGCTGCTTCACCTTGCACTTTCATGTTATAGAAATAGCTTCTTTTCTTAAATCTCACGTATCAACCTCTGCTAAGGGGCCAACTTTTTTCTAGAGCTTTCTCACCTTTCTTAGACTTCATAAAATTGTAAAGAGCCTTGCTTTGGACGAGGCTTTGACTTAAGAGAATGTGGCTGGTTTGATTTTCTTTGCAGTCCACTAAACTTTCTCCATGTCAGCAGAAAGTCTGTTTTGCCTTCTTATCAATTGTGTGTTCACTACAGCAACACTTAATTTCCTTCAAGAACTTTCCTTTGCATTTACAACCTGCCTTACTGTTTTGTGCCATAGGCCTTGATTTCAGCCTGTCTTGGTTTTCAACATCCTTTCCTTACTAAGCTTAATCATTTCTACTTTTTGATTTAAAGTGAAAGACATGTAACTCTTCCTTTCACTTGAATGCATAGAGGCCATTATAGGGTTATTAGCTGGTGTAATTTCCATACTTCTGTGTCTTAGGGAGTAGGGAGACCTGAGGAGAGGGACAGAGATGGGGGAATGGCTGGTTGGTGGAGCAGTCAGAATACACACAACATTTGCTGAGTAAGCCTGCCATGTTACCTAATTGGTACAATTTGTGGCACACGCAAATAATTACAGTAGTAACATTAAAGATCACTGATCACAGATCACATAACAGATTTAACAATAATGAAATCATATGAAAATGTGAGAATTACCAAAATGTGACATAAGGGCAAAAAGTCAGCACATAATGATGAAAAAATGATGCCAAAAGGCTGCCCAAAGCCTTCAATTTATAAAAAAGTATCTGTAAAGTACAATAAAATGAAGTATGCTTTTAGTGTTACTACCCATACAATGAGGAAATGCTACATATACAAAAGAAGGGAAGAATGCTATATTTTCAAATGACATAAAAATTCAGAGACAGAAGAACTTTTCAAAATCAAAAATGATAACAGAATTTAGAAACTTGAAATGGGTTTGAATATATAGTTAAGGGAAAATGCCAGAGACCAGAACAAGAAACAGAGTA